CGAGCCAGCTGCCTTGGCATCTCCCACGACTATTAAAGTCTTCGCGGGGATGAGAGCTCGGTGAGTGCGCCTCCTTCTCCTTTACAGTGCCATTTGGAGGTCAAGTCAGGTCATGTTTGGATGGTAAGGAGGTCAAACGTCTTTGCACTAAGGGTCTTGGTTTGTCTCCCTATTTTGCATTTCTTTCCTGCTCTCGCTCTCTCTCTCTCTCTCTCTCTCTCTCTCTCTCTCTCTCTCTCTCTCTCTCTCTCTTCTCTCTCTCCTCTCTGTGTCTCTCCTCCTTCAATCCCCCATTTTCTGTATGTCTGCCTCCAATCAAACGCCCCAAATAGATACAAATAATGATGGAAACACAAATGGCATTGAAAAATTGGAAGAAAAAATATGGAAACCCACCACAACAAAAATTTAAAAAGAGCGAAAATGAGAAAAAAAACGAGTATATAAAAAAAATACATCAAGACTCAGCAGCAGCGTTCAAAGATGCCCTGTCATGTCCTCTGTAGTTCAACATCTCCCTCATACGCCCTCCCCTCCCCCCCAAAAAAAAGGGAAAAAATCCGAATAAACAAAAAATCTGACCCTCTTTCTCCGGACACTCGTACTGTGTGCCCTCGGATGTCTTACCTCCCCCTCCCCCTCCCCCAGCTTATCCCGCCCCTCTCTTTTTGTGTACTTCAGGGAAGCTAGGGCATAAACATAGGGTTATTGTGACAGCTATGGAAGTGATGATTGATGAAGGTAGTCGCGCCGATGATGTTAATGATGGTGATGGTGATGATATGATGGCGACGGTGATGAGGAGGACGATGATAATGATGATGGTGGTGAAGACAGTGAATATGAAGACGTCAGGAAAGACGAAAACCAAATTAAAAACGACAATAACAACTGTCAAGAAGCGTGACTGCTGTGTCAGTAATGACGACGACGATAATGACAGATGGTGGCCCCGATGATGATGATGATGATAATGACGGTGACAAATCATGGCGATAATGGCAAAAAAGGCAAAGATAGCGACAACAATGGTGATGAAAGTGATGATAAATATAATGATACCTGCCATAATAGTTGATAACAATCCAATAGCTTTCCCCGGAGGAAACACCCTTGAAAAATCTCATCTTTAAAAATCGACTGTGTATCCACATCAAATGTGAACAACAACAAATGAAAAAAAGAAAAGAAAAGAAAAAGGCGAAGACAGATGAAGAGAAGAAACACAAAAATATATTACACCGTTCAGCGAAAGACAAATGAACACGGTGCTAAGAACGGAAAGAAAGGGGAACAACCAAGAAAAAAGAAAAAAATAATGAATAAATACGACCACAACATATTGTTCACCACCTCTCATTTCTTGTCTTTTCAGTACAAACAACAGACACGTGGTCATAGAAATCGAATCAAGAACATTTGTTTTCCTTTCCACCTGAGACGCTGTCTGTAAACAGGTACCGTGGAAGAGACGACAGAGGGAGAGGGAGAGGGTGGGAAAGAAAGAGGAGGGGAGGGAGACAGAAAGAGGAAGGGGAGATAGAGAGAGGTGGGGAAGGGAAACGGAGAGATGGGGGAGGTAGAGAGACAGAGATAGAGAGAGAAAGAGGGAGGAGGAGGGGAAGGGAGGAAATGAAAAGAGAAAGAGAATGAGAAAGGGAGGGAGGGAGGGAGAGGAAGAGGGAGAGAGAGAAAGAAGAGAGGAGAGAGGGAGAGGGAGAGAGAGAGGGAGAGGGAGAGAGAGAGGAGAGAGAGGAGAGAGAGAGAGAGAGGGAGAGAAGAGAGAGAGAGAGAAGAGAGAGAGAGAGAGAGAGAGAGAGAGAGAGAGAGAGAGAGAGAGAGAGAGAGAGAGAGAGAGAGAGAGAGACGAGAGAGAGAGAGAGAAGAGCGAAAGCGAGAGAGAGAGAGAGAGAGAGGAGAGAGAGAGAGAGAGAGAGAGAGAGAGAGAGAGAGAGAGAGAGAGAGAGAGAGAGAGAGAAGAGAGAGAGAGAGAGAGAGAGAGAGAGAGAGAGAGAGCGAGAGAGCGAGAGAGAGAGAGAGAGAGAGAGAGAGAGCGAGAGAGAGAGAGAGAGAGAGAGAGAGAGAGAGAGTCAGTCTGAAAAAAAAAAATCAGAAAGGCCAAGACAGAACGTACACATGAATAAAATCGGTGGCGCAGGATAAACAAATTAAAATGCAAAGGCGATAACGGAAGCGAAAGAAAAGAAAGCAACGTGAGAAAACATGCATAAGCTCGTGTGCCTTTCTCCGTTTTCCTCCTCGACGTCCCCGCTAAATCAAGTCCGTCCACACACAAACCACGTTGCATGATCACGAGCAAATGCGTACATGCGCGCATACATACATACATACATACATACATACATACATACAACACACACACACACACACACAACCCCCTCCCCGCCTCCCCCAGACACACGAACGCACTCTCCCAGAGCCAAGCGATGATGGAGAACCAGAGCCACTGTCACAATGCCAATGCCAGTGCCAGCGTGCC